CTTCTGGCTATTATAAATAAGGCTGCTATGAACATAGTGGAGCATATGTCCTTGGTCTGTGTTGGAGCATCTTCTGGGTATATGCCCAGGAGTAGTATAGCTGGGTCCTCAGGTAACGCTATGTCCAATTTTCTGAGGAACCACCAGACTGATTTCCATAGTGGTTGTACCAGCTTGCAATCCCACCAACAATGGAGGAGTGTTCATTTTTCTCCACATCCTCAACACGATCTGCTATCACCTGAGTTTTTGATCTTAGCCATTCTGACTGGTGTGAGGTGGAATCTCAGTGTTGTTTTGATTTGCATTTCCCTGATGACTAAGGATGCTGAACATTTGTTTAGGTGCTTCTCGGCCATTCAAGTTTCCTCGGTTGAGAATTCTTTGTTTAGCTCTGTACCCCATTTTTAAATAGGGTTATTTGGTTTTCTGGAGTCTATTTTCTTGAGTTCTTTGTATATATTGGATATTAGCCCTCTATTGGATATAAGGTTGATAAAGATCTTTTCCCAATCTGTTGGATGCCTTATTGTCCTATTGACAGTGTCCTTTGCCTTACAGAAGCTTTGCAATTTTATGAGGTTCCATTTGTCAATTCTTGATCTTAGAGCATAAGCCATTGGTGTTCTGTTCAGGAACTTTTCCCTGTGCCTAGGTATTGGAGGGTCTTCCCCACCTTCTCTTCTGTTAGTTTCAGCGTATCTGGTTTTATGTGAAGGTCCTTTATCCACTTAGACTTGAGCTTTGTACAAGGAGATAAGGATGGATTGATTTGCATTCTTCTACATGCTGACCTCCAGTTGAATCAGCACCATTTGATGAAATTGCTGTACTTTTTCCACTGGATGGTTTTAGCTCCTTTGTCAAGGATCAAGTGACCATAAGTGTGTGGGTTCATTTGATCTTCCTGCCTGTCTCTGTACTAATACCATGCAGTTTTTATCACTATTGCTCAATGGTACAGCTTGAGGTCATGGATGGTGATTTCCCCAGAAGACCTTTGATTGTTGAGAATAGTTCTCACTATCCTGGGTTTTTTTGTTATTCCAAATGAATTTGCAAATTGCTTTTTCTATCTCTATGAAGAATTGATTTGAAATTTTGATGAGGATTGCATTGAATCTCTCGATTGCCATTTGGCAAGATGGCCATCTTTACTGACTTAATCCTGCCAATCCATGAGTATGGGAGATCTTTCCGTCTTCCGAGATCTTCTTCGATTTCTTTCTTCAGAGACGTGAAATTCTTGTCATACAGATCTTTCACTTGCTTGGTTAGATTCACTCCAAGATATTTTATATTATTTGTGACTATTGTGAAGGGTGTCATTTCCCTAATTTCTTTCTCAGCCTGTTTATCCTTCGAGTAGAGGAAGGCTACTGATTTGTTTGAGTTGATTTTATGTCCAGCCACTTTGCTGAAGTTGTTTATCAAGTTTAGCAGTTCTCTGGCAGAAGTTTTAGGGTCACTATCATATCATCTGCAAATAGTGAAATTTTGACTTCTTCCTTTCCTATTTGTATCTCTTTGACTTCCTTTTGTTGTCTCATTGCTCTGGCTGGGACTTCCAGTACTATATTGAATAGGTAGCAAGAGAGTGGGCAGCCTTGTCTAGTGGGATTGCCTCAGCTTTCTCTCCATGTAGTTTGATGTTGGCTACTGGTTTACTGTATATTTCTTTTACTATGTTTAGATATGGGCCTTGAATTTCTGATCTTTCCAAGACTTTTAACATGGACGGATGGACGGATGTTGAATTTTGTCAAATGCTTTCTCATCATCTAGTGAGATGATCATGTGGGTTTTTTTTTCTTTGAGTTTGTTTATATAGTGGATTACATTGATAGATTTCTGAATATTGAACCATCCCCTGCATTCCTGGGATAAAGCCTACTTGATCATGGTGCATGACTGTTTTGATATGTTCTTGGATTCGGTTTGTGAGAATTTTATTGAGTATTTTTGCATCGATATTCATAAGGGAAATTGATCTGAAGTTCTCTTTATTTGTTGGGTCTTTGTGAGATTTAGGTATAAGTGTGATTATAGCTTCATGGAATGAATTGAGTAGTGTTCCTTCTGTTTCTATTCTGTGGAATAGTTTGAAGAGAATTGGTATTAGGTCTTCCTTGAAGGTCTGATAGAATTCTGCACTAAAACCATCTGGTCCTGGGCTTTTTTCTTTTCTTTTCTTTTTTTTTTTTGGTGGGGAGACATTTAATGACTGCTGCTATTCCTTTAGGGGTTATGAGACTGCTTAGATGGTTTATTTGCTCCAGATTTAACTTTGGTACCTGGCATCTGTTTAGAAAACTGTCCATTTCATCCAGATTTTCCAGTTTTGTTGAGTATAAGCCTTTGTAGTAGGTTCTGATGATTTTTGTTTAATTTCCTCAGTTTCTCTTGTCATGTCTCCCTTTTCATTTCTGATTTTATTAATTTGGATACTGTCTCTGTGCCCTCTGATTAGTCTGGCTAAGGGTTTATCTATCTTGTTTATTTTCTCAAATAACCAGCTCCTGGTTTTGTTGATCTTTGTATCGTTCTTTCTGTTTCTACTTTGTTGACTTCAGTCCCGAGTTTGATTATTTTCTGCCATATTCTCTTCTTGGGTGTATTTGCTTCTTCTTTGTTCTAAAGCTTCCAGGTATGCTCTCAAGTTGTTAGTGTACGCTCTCTCCAGTTTCTTTTTATAGGCACTTAGAGCTATGAGTTTTCCTCTTAGCACTGCTTTCATGAAATCCCACAAGTTTTGGCATGATGTGTCGTCATTTTCATTAAATTCTAAAAAGTCTTTAATTTCTTTCTTTATTTCTTCCTTGACCAAGTCATCATTTAGTTGAGCATTGTTCAGTTTCCATGTGTATGTGGGCTTTCCATTGTTTTTGTCATTATTAAAGACCAGCCTTAGTCCACGATGATCTGATAGGATGCAAGGGATTATTTCAATATTTTTGTATCTGTAGAGGCCTGTTTAGTGACCAATTATATGGTCTATTTCGGAGAAGGTACCATGAGGTGCTGAGAAAAAGATATATTGTTTTGTTTTAGGATGAATTGTTCATCAGACATAAGTTAAATCCGTTTGGTGCATAACTGCTGTTAGTTTCACTGTGACTCTGTTTAGTTTATGTTCACATGATCTGTCCATTGCTAAGAGTGGAGTGTTGAAATCCCCCACTATTATTGTGTGAGGTACAATGTGTGCTTTGAGCTTTAGTAAAGTTTCTTTTATGTATGTGGCTGCCCATGCATTTGAAGCATAGATGTTCAGAATTGAGAGTTCATCTTGGTAAAATTTTCCTTTGATGAGTATGAAGTATCCTTCCTTATCTTTTTTGATTACTTTTGGTTGAATGTTGATTTTATTTAATATTAGAATGGCTACTGCAGCTTGTTTCTTGGGACCATTTGCTTTGAAGATTGTTTTCCATCCTTTTACTCTGAGGTAGTGTCTGTCTTTGTCGCTGAGGTGCGTTTCCTGTATGCAGCAAAATTCTGGGTCCTGTTTATGTATCCAGTCTGATAGTCTATGTTCTATTTATTGGAGAATTGAGTTCATTGATATTAAGAGATATTTAGGAAAAAATGATTGTTGATTCCTGTTATTTTTGTTATTAGAGGTGGAATTATGTTTGTGTAGCTATCTTCTTTTGGGGTTGTTGGGAGATTACTTCCTTGCTTTTTCTAGGTTGTAGTTTCCCTCCTTGTGTTGGAGTTTTCCCTCAATTATCCTCTGAAGTTCTGGATTTGTAGGAAGATATTGTGTAAATTTGGTTTTGACATGGAATACCTTGGATTCTCCATCTATAGTGATTGAGAGTTTTGCTGGGTATAGTAGCCTGGACTGGCATTTGTGTTCTCTTAGGGTCTGTATAATATCAGTCCAGATCTTCTGGCTCTGACCTTATAGTCTCTGGTGAGAAGTCTGGTGTAATTCTGATAGGTCTGCTTTTATATGTTACTTAAAAATTTTCCCCTTGCTGCTTTTGGTATGTTTTCTTTGTTTTGTGCATTTGATGTTTTGATTATTATGTGACAGGAGGAATTTCTTTTCTAGCCTAGTCTATTTGGGGTTCTGTAGGCTTCTTGTATATTCATGGACATCACTTTCTTTAGGTTAGGGAAGTTTTCCTCTATAATTCTGTTGAAGACATTTACTGGTCCTTTAAGTTGGAAATCTTAACTCTCACCTATACCTATTATCCTTAGGTTTGGCCTTCGCATTGTTTCCTGGATGTCCTGGATGTTTTGGGTTAGGAGCTTTTTGCATTTTGCATTTTCTGTGACAGTTGTGTCAATGTTTTCCATGGTATCTTCTGCACATGAGATTCTCTCTTCTATCTCTTGTATTCTGTTGGTGATGCTTGAATCTATAACAGATGTTCTCTTTCCTGGGTTATCTATCTCCAGGGTAGTCTCTCTTTGAGGTTTCTTTATTGTTTCTATTTCCATTTTTAGATCCTGAATGGTTTTTTTTTAATTCCTTTATCTGTTTGGTAGTGTTTTCTTGCAGTTCTTTAGGGGATTTTTGTGTTTCCTATTTAAGGGCTTCTGCCTGTTTACCTGTGTTCTCCTGTACTTCTTCAAGGTAATTGTTTATGTCGTTCTTAATGTCCTCTATCATCCTCTTGAGAAGTGATTTCTATTGATTTTAATTCTGAATATGGCTTTTCTGGTGCAATAGGGTGTTCAGGGCTTGCTATGGTAGGAGAACGGGTTCTGATGATGCCAAGTAACGTTGGTTTCTGTTGCTTAGGTTCTTCACCTGCCTTTCTCTATCTGGTTAACTCTAGTGTTACCTGCACTCACTGTCTCTGACTGGAGCCTGTCTTTCCAGTTATCTTGCTTGTGTCAGAACTCCTCAGAGTCCAGATATCTCTGTGAGCCTGTGATCCTGACTAACTCAGTGGAAGAACTCCTGGGACTCAGGCTGTCTCTGGGATCCTGAAATCCTCCTGCTCTGAATGCAGTGATTCCTTTAGGATGTCTCAGGATATGAAAATATGGAACACTTCATGAGTTTCTGTGTCATCCTTTCACAAGGGCCTTGTTAATCTTTTCTGTTTTGATCCAATTTAATATATGTGCTGCTAAATCACTTGTCTACTACTCTTAAATATGAACCATATAGCTGTCCATGCAGTGAAGCAAGTTGTTATAGAATGTTTTATTTTCTATAAAGCAAGCCAGTATTTTCTGAGAATAAGATGGTCTTGATACTAGTCTCCCTCTATCCTTATTCATATAAAATGAAAATACCACTAATAGTAATTCCAACAAATCTAATCTTTAGCTACTATCTTATATAGAAGTGCGTTCCATCCAAAAGAAGAAGAAAAATTTTTAGGTGATGTCTTAGAAATGTAACATGAAGAAACTCTTTCTAGAAAACATAGCAAAACAGTAGAAATAATCTACAATTAATTTTCTCCAGCACAGGGTACAAATTTCAAGGTTCTCTTCAACTTCCACAGATATTTTAGGGAAAACTCCAGGAAAAAGTGCACATAGTCAGATGCTAATCATTTTAGTTTTCATTTATGTTTATTAAGTATGTCTAAGATATTCTGTGAATGATGAGCAGATGAAGAATTTAATAAAAAAACAGATTTTATTGTGAATGACCACTGAAAATGACATTACCTAGGAATGATATTTGACCTTTATTATTTGAACTGAAAGTAGAAAAACTTGTCTGATTGTTCTGAGAAGTTATCTTCTTTTTGTCCTCTGAAAGTTGTGACTGAAATCATATGGATTTCCATGATGCTAAAAACATTCAAGACATCCACGTGTTTTACAGTGGTCTGGTGAGTCCAGCAGTGTGTGAACACCATAGAGTATACAAACGGAGGAGATTAAAGCTGTTAACCTATAGTAGTTTATATACCTGGGTCTCCACATTTACCTGATCTTATCCTGTAATTACTATGAATAGAATAGGGCTTATAGTTTTCTTTAAAATCACCCCAGGCCTTTTTATTCTAAGAAGAGATTTTCTATTCATGTTCTTTCCTCCTTCCAGATTTACAGATTTGTAGCAAGAAGGAATGAGTGTAGCTTTTCTGGCACACTTGGAGGGAAAGATACCTAATGCTCCCTGGCAAACAGTAACACAATTCAAAATGCATACTTTTTTAAAAAAAAACTTAATAAAGTTTTGTCTCATATTTCTAAGTGTGCAATTTCCTCTTGTCAGTCATAAGAAATAAAGTGATAAAGCTGGTTAACTATAAGAAAGATTTGGTTTGAAACTTAGAGAATTGTTAAACTACCATATTTATGTATTATTTACTTATCCTTTTTTGGAACACAGCTTTGAATTTATATTAAAACCATCAGATATTTCAACCTCAGCAGAATGACAAATAGTCAGAAATGGATATTTGTGTAATGTATAATGCTGTAATTAATTGTTATTTTATTTTAATTTAGATAAACAGCTGTATCTACCTGATAAGATATATTATGAGAATAAAGTAAGACCTGATTATTAACAATTATAATTTCAAGTAATTGCAAGTAGTGCTATACTCAATTCACATTTAAAATGAGTTATTGTTTGTATGTAGTTACCTGAATTGAGCATTACAAAGTAAATAGAAGTTAGATTGTGTTATCATAAAGTCTTTAAAATATTATAAGATGAGGCTGGAGAGATGTCTCAGTAGTCAAGTGTACTTGCTGCTATTCAGAAGACCTGAGTTTAGTTTCCAGAACCCAGGCTGAAAACCACCTGCAACTCTAGTTTTAGGGAATCTGGTATTCTCTTCCTGCCTCTCCTGGCATTCCCGTAAACATGTGAATATAAACACACAAACACACATAAACACATAAGTAAAAATAGAAGTAAAATTTAAATATTAATAAAAGTTTCACTCCTGCATTTTGGTTTTGGTTTTTCGAGACAGGGTTTATCTGTGTAGCCCTGGCTGTCCTAGAACTCACTCTGTAGACCAGGCTGGCCTCGAACTCTCAAACTCAGAAATCCGCCTGCCTCTGTCTCCCAAGTGCTGGGATTAAAGGTGTGAGCCACCACCACCCGGCATGGCTTTTTATTCGTACTGCAACTATATGAGACTGCACATAGAACTCTTGATACTTCAGATTTGAGTATGCACATGACCAGAAGAAGAATGGCTGTGTGAATCCAGGTCAGATAGAAATTCACATGCTAGAGAATTTTCTCTACGTGCAATACATTCACTATTTCAAGTGAGAGAATATTTGGTGCAATTTTCATGAACATACTATTTGTCAAAGTAATTATCTTTCTAGGGTGTCAGCAGGAATCACTTTTCCCAGAACAGTAAATAAGATTAAGTTATTAAGAGAATAAAAAAGTTAGTTAAGGCTTTTTGAAGTAAATATTTAAAAATTAAGTATAGCTCAAGGATTTTGAGTTACAAAGTAAAGTAATGCTTTGATAACTAAAGAATTTTCAATAAGTGACACAACTTCAATTCTTTTTACAGTTTCTGTTCGGGACAGTTAATATATATCACACAGAATATTTGCTATCAGAACAGTGTTTTAAGCTCTATTATTGTAATTTCTCATTCTCTGAATAGAGAGAGTGTTACCAGTCAGCTTTGAATAGATGGTCAAAAATCTTCTCGTGTTTTCCTCTGACTATGAACAATCTTTATCATGGTAATAAGGCATGAGAATTTAAGTTTTGACCAGGTACAGGTAGTATCTGATCAAATAAATTTTTTCTGGTATTCATTATGAGAACTTCAGTGCTTCAGAAATGCTATGTGAATAAAATCTAGGTGGGTTTCTAGGATTCCATTTTAATATCTGAAGCTTTAATGTTCAGGAATATTAATATCACTAATGGCATCTTGAAAATATATCAGGCTAAAAGAATCAAGTTATGAATTAGTTACTTTAAAAACCTGTATGGGTATGTTTTATATTTTGTATGTGACTGCACAGTGAAACCCCATCTTTATGGTAGCTATTTTTATATTAGAATGAAAAGCAGTTGGAAACAGCAGGACATATTTCATCTGTAGGATTAAAAAGTATCTGAACATAAAACAGATTCATATCATCTAATTTATGGACACTAAGCATGGAAAAATATATATAGTCATTAATTTATTATAAGTGGATTGAATTTTCTCTCCTGGTGGGCTTTTCAAACCTTTACTTGCTGTTCTTACTTTTGGTGCATGAATATCATTTTTATCACTTTTTGTTAATAGGAATTCCATAAAAGCCCGCAAAATCAACCTAGATTCTGATTATCCTCTTTACACAAAAATGTTGATAGCTTTGGATCCAGATTACATCTCTACTCAGTTGATGTAGTTCATACTGGGCTCTATAATAACCGAATGGTTCATGAATGAGAAGGGGCATTATAGCCTACGAACCAAAAAGGATTCCATTTGAAAAACATAGAAAGATAACATAACAGTAATTGAGAAGTGCCATCAGCAAAGCCTGCATTTTGGCAAAGTTCTATGGGTACAGCAAATATTAGTATATACATTTTCTCCTTGTCTTCTGATAAAAATAAGTTGAGAGAAAGGCACTAGTTGGAAAAATAAAGGATTGCTCAAAGAAAATCCTTAGCAAGCACCTCTTAGGATGTTAACATTAAACCAAAACCTTAAACAAAAAACCATTTCTCACTTAAACCTCCTTGCCTTACTAAGGAAAAGCTAAAATATGACTTAAAAGTTTAAATCAACTTTACTTGGTTTATATAAGTAAAACCAAGTAGCATGAGTGTAAATGGTATGTTTTAAATGCAATCACTATTGTAATTTCATGTCCCAAAGATAAGTTATAAACAACAAATTCTGTTTTGCATAATGATACCCAGAGTCAGTGACTATCAGTATGATGTTGGACTGTAATCTATATTGAGTCCTGACAAGCAAGTGAGATTGACTACGAGCAATGCATAATTTTGACAGTTTTAGAATAACCATGGTTTCTTAAGTTTCTTCCTCTTTCTCAATATAAATAAATTAGTGAATATTTATGTAGACAGCAATGTGATATATAACACTCAATTCTGACATAAAATATAGAAACCTATATTAAGCAATTGCACACTTTCAGTTGATCTATATTTTATTATTGAGATTCACAGTAATATTATTTGGTTTATAAAGATTCAGTCGGTCATATCATTAAAATACTTAATGCCAGTCATGAAAGAGCAAAGGCAACCTATTGCAGTGAAAATGTTACATTATATTCAGAGACTCAAGCCTGATAGGCAAGGAAGCTCTTAATTAACAAGAATTATTTTTTAAAGATACAAATTTTTTAATGTAAAGATACTTTGTATTTTATTGTGACTATGTTGATTGTTCAATCATTGTGAGAACTGAGTTAACATAAAGAATTTCAAAAAATTTTATGATTTTTCTATATTTTTCTTTCCATATGCATTTCCCTTTCATCCTACAACATTTTATTTCAAAATTATCTTTATTAAATAAGCAGTATTGGGTAAGAGGAATATATTTATGTAATGAATCTTTATTTATTAAATTCTATCTCTATTGGGAAAATAAATCACTGAAAATAATTTTTCTTTTGTGGCTAAAATTAAAGTTCTTAGGGTTTTATTGAAATAAAAATTACAAGTGAAATTGAAAGGTAGTACATTGTATTGACTGTTTTAAATAGCGTAGGTAAAGCTAAGCATTAAAGTAAAACTGGAGAGAAAATAAAATAACTATTACAGTTAATATAGGAGCCCCATGTCAGCATCTCTTGTTGATTTGTGTAATTAATGCTTGATTTTGATACTTTCTAGATTATTTCCCACTTTGAATTTAATATGCATGCTAAGAGTATGTAACCATGTTATTTGAGGGGAAGGTGGTAAGAAAATATTTTAATAAATAATATAGTGTTATTTATATATGTTAGTAATTTTTAAGGGATCATGAGACATAAAAGATATTTAGCTGTTGTAAGATAGGCTTTAAAATTTTTCCATTTATTTGTTTGTTTGTTTATTCAATTTACATCCTGATCCCAGCTCACCCTAAGTAGCCCCACACACCATTCCTCCCTCCCCTTATCCTCTGAGAAAGGGGAGGCCCACTGTGTACCAACCTACCCT